TCAATGAAAGACCACCAAACTGTCTTATTGTTCAGGAAGGCTGCGCTCCACAATAGCAGCAACTCTCACCTAACCTGCCTGCTGCCTGTCGTCTACAAACTCTCTACACCAGCAATCCTCAACAGGAATGGCGGATTATTGCCGAGGAGAAGCCATATGAGAAAGTAGGGCTTCGAAAAGGATTCAGTACGATGGACCACATTTATACGATAACAAGATTCATCTAAGTATCATGAGAGTGCAATAGACCGCTCTTTCTTACTTCAATCGATTTTAGGAATACTTTTGAACCAGCTGAGATAAAAGCAATTGTGAAAGCCGTGGTGGACAACCAAGGCTTCTTTACTCAATATGTAAAAAATTCTCCATCAGGTATATACATATTTCACAACCATGATATCACCATTCTACAACGGTTTTAACATCGACGTCAAGAGAGGGGTTAGGTAAGGCGATATCATCTCGTCAAAATTATTTATCGCCACCCTCCATAACGTCATGCCAACATTGGAATGGGACGAGATGGGAGTGAAAAGAGATGGTCGGAAATTACACCATCTTCGCTTTGCTAAGGACTTCGTTCTTATAACACCATGCATTAGTCAGACGGAGAGAGTTTGATAACGCCCGTGGAAAGATTGCTCTTTGACTAAATTTCACAAAAACGATGTTCATGAGGAACAGATTGGTTACACATACCCCATTCACGCTCAATGGAATGAATATCTCCCCATGGTCTAGTTACGGAGAAAAGGAGCTTTGGGAGCTGTCAACGGTATCGACGACGTAGTGAAGAGGACAACGAACACCCGATTTCGTGCCCACCTTTTCGATTCAACAGTACCACCTGAGTTAACGTATACGTCAGAAAATTGGTCGCTGCGTAAGCAAGATGAAAGGTCGTTCAGCGTTATTGAACGCGCAGTCGGATGGACGATGGCAGTAGTAACCCGTGTGACTGAAGTGAGGGAAGGGATTCGAAGCTTCGACCTATGTAAACGATCAAATGTCAAAGATATCGTTGTACCAGCCAAACTGTCGAAGATAAGCTGAGCTGAATTCGGAATGGCTATGGTCGACAGCTGATGGGTAAGAACCGTTACCAACTGGATTCCTCGTGATGTCAAACGAACAGCAAGAATTCAGAGTTCTTCAGGAAAAGCCTGAAAGAAATATATGATTGTCAACAAGTTCCTGGAGCGAGCAGTATCCACTGGGCTACTCTAGTAGAGACAGGAATAAATGGAAGGTTTACTGGCGCCACCTCGAGTAATTCGATAATGAACGGTACGTCAGGTGGTAGAGGTAATACGTACTTTTTGGTCTTTTTAACGTAGGGATAAAAGGGTGCTGTGTGATCGTTCGCCTCCACAGACAGCTTGCCTCGCCGTGTCTCTCAATCACCTGAAAATTTCATGAGTTTGAGGGAAAGGCCGCGTCATGTACTACGGGTACTACCATGTCTTTCTTATCATTTCATCTACCACTCAAGAGATTGCTTAGCATGCCAGAGAAACTGATGTACGGCGCTGCTGCAACAAGCTTAACACGGATAGTAACGAATGCCAGTTCCAGAAAAGCTTTGTAGTAAGATATACTTCAGTAAAGGCAGAAGAAACCGGTACAGCACGAAAAAAAACCATTTTGAAGAAACACCGTTGGGACTTGTGCAATGCAACGTCCTGCTTTCAGCCCTGAGCACAAAAGTAGGATACTAAAATTTCCAGCCATGATATGCGATTAACAACAGAAGAATTCTACAGGAACCTTTTCGTGTCTGCAACCCCCGCTCCAGACCTTGAAATTCCTGATGGACGAGAACCAGTTGGAATTCTTCCCTCTGAGGTTGTATTTGCGATAGGAAGCATGAAAAAAACACAGCTTCAGGACCCAACAAAATCACCTCCGACTTGCTCAGAGACGGAAGGCACGACTTACATGTACTCCTCGCAAACTATATAACATACTACCTTTAAAGGGAAGAAACCTCGACCAATGGAGAACATCACGTACGGTCATTCTGTCCACGAACGACGACCGATAAGATCATCGGAAGTATCAGCATCGGATATCGTAGTTGGGTGTATTGTACAATCGTTTCACGAGGATTATCGTGTCGGGCACATCAAAGACTTTGGATGAGGCACAACCAGTAGTTGAGCAAGCAGGATTTCGACAGGGATTTTGCTGCTTGGACCATATCCAAACCGTGCAGAGGGTTATAAAAGTCTGTCGGGTATACATCTGCCCCTATACTAATCTTTATCGACTACGAAAAAACGTTTGAGAGCGTTGAAACGAATGTAATCGTCAGCTCATTCGAGCAAGGAGTGCACGCGTTACACACAAGGACGCTATTTGGCTGCTGTCGGAACTTTATCACGAAAATACAGCTTTCCCATCGACCTCTTAACATACCCGCAAGCAATGGGGTTCGAAAAGCAACCACATCGCAAAACCTGTTTACTTCCGCACTGAAGTGGATTTAATGAAGCCACTCGATAGTGATGAGATGGGTATATTTACTGATGAGAAATTAGTATCGAATATTCGTTTTGCGGATGCTATCGCCAACCTTTTGACCGGCACCAGTGAAGCAGAGACGGTGCCCAGAGCTCAACGAAGAGGGAAAAAATCAGACTACGCATAAATCGGGAGACATTGTTCATGGTAAGCCGTAGAACAGATCAAACTGAATGGCTCCTTAATTAGACAGACCACTTCGTACGTATAATTTTGACATTCAACGAACATGGGAAACAACACCGAGGAGTAATTAGGCAGAAGAGACAGAACAGGATAGCCGCATTCGCACCATTCAAGGAAGTTACCGAGGAACGAAAGGACTCAAAAACCTGCTCTCACTTTTCGATTTAACGTTCTTCCCAATTATGCAACAACTATACTGGTTGATACTTCAAACATATCAAGAATGCTGCAGACTACTTACAGAGCGCTTGAACGATGCCCTATGAAATATAACCGGCAGATACAATACCTAGTCGGAATAGGAAGCTCTAATCTTCGAAATCTGTCTCACCTTCAACATCCAAGAAAACACACATCAACAACGAAACATAGATGGGCGTCATATAATGAGAAGAACAGACAACAGATGGAAGACAAAACTGTCGAATGCACTTCACATTAGATGGAAGCGTCCACTGGGAGGCAGAGCTAAGTAGTAGGAGGAAGTGTTCGTAACTAAAATCGATCACATCTTAACCTCACTAGATTATATATCTTCACCGGATTCGACTCGATGCAATAAAGAACACCCACATCGCAAGAATGACCATCTGTGGACCATCGACTCGGATCAATCCGTCCCTAAAGAAGACGAAGACGTCGAGACGTTAGCCGATTACACCTTCTTTATCAATCCCGTTCTAGCTTAATAATCAAAGAAGGTATTAAAATAAAGCTGTACTCGCAGCTACCAATTTTTTGTAGATTACAGCATAAGACCGTCACCATGTTCGAATTAGACCACCAGCATGGACGACGACTGCGAGGGAGGGAAACGAGTGGAAAATGTGCAGGGTCCGCATAACTCGTGAAGACAGGGTGTCCAAGTATCCACGTAAGTAAACGCAGAAAATCTATACGCAAACTCGCCGACGTTGTTAATTTTTGAAACTATTGATTAATCCTTGCTTTCAATCCATTGAAATTTCCCCAAAACAACTACATATTTTAACGTTCACATCTCAGCAGCGAACGATATCAATTCGAAACAGGATTATTTTGAACATGAAACTCACGAAGAAAGTACTTTTTCTCTGCGAAGACAATTTTTTCTTAAATTTTGAATTGTATATCTCAAGTTAGGCGCATATGGCGCAATGATCGGACGCACCGTGCAGTACACATGGGATCGATCCCCACCGCCCAGACTCACCAAGCCTTCCGTCCCTCCGAGGTCGGCAAACTGGTAACGGATTTGTCTAGAAGGATAGCAGCACTGACTCGATACATCGGTAGGCTATCGTGAGTCATTATAAAGGCCAGATATGCATTCAATCACCTCCAACGATGCTTGGTGAGGTCGAATGCATAGCGTATCCCTAAAGGGTTGCTCAACGCCGACAGCTCTATCCTTTTTTATACTTACATTTCAGATTTGTTACTTTCGAGAATTGTTGACTTCTACCGATAAAACTGTGCATTAACTGGTACACTACGTAACAACTCAGTACTAACTTCACCAAATTTTTGACCATTGCAAACTCTGATGAAGGCGAAGTCGTCGATACTTATTAAATAAAACTTTTACTAACAACCTCGTTTTTGGTCGAGAAGAAAACATTTCATTCCTCGGACACTTGGTATCAATCAGCAAGTTACACAATCTGAGGAGGGTGGAGGTTTCCTATCGTGAGATAAAACATCATATAAAAAGCCTCAGTCGGCTCATCAAGAATATAGAAAGCGTGCAAGAACTTTGCTTAGAATAAAAATTTCCATAAATAGTAACCTTAAAAGCATGCCAAAGAGAAACCAGTGTTATTTGAAAATAGGAACTTCGCCATTGAAAAATCCACTTAAGAATCTTGCAAGACGCTGACGAAATCTTCATGCAAAACATCGAGCCAGGGTGAGTTGTCTAAACTTCTATAGTACGACATCATGAGGACTTCACTAATTCATTTTTTGAACAGAACTAGTCATCTGTGAATCCACTACTAATCATGCGACCGAGCACGATTAGTGGAAGGACACAGAATGAGATATTATACTAAATTAACTGGGCGTCAGAATGTCACCTTTTCCACTTCCTCAAAACATTCTGTCGTTATTTATTACCATGCACTTTAAGCCGTTTTCCATTAGTCTAGGTCAATTCTGCCACATGGAAGAAACACTCGTAATTCTTTCGTAATTAGCATGTCTACACAAATCCATAACTAAAAAAACTACCAAATTTAAAAGCTGTTACAGCTAAAACACTACAACTAACTAGTTTATCTACATAACCAAATTTCATTTTAAAAAAATGTCTACACAATTGGCCAGTCCCACTGGCCTTTTGGAGCCTCCTCGACGAGCGGTTCCCATGCTCTCGACTCTATGATGGCTCTTGTAGCTTCTAGTTCGTATTCTGCCTTAAAATTTGGCGTTGTGTTGTGGATGTGGTGCTAGACAGAATAAAAGGAAGAAAATGTCCATAACGCAATGCCACTTATAATAAGAAAAGAAATATCTATCTAGGAATCCCACCTGTTCAATAACTTCCTCGATTTGCCCCATTCCTATCTTCTCTTCTAGTGTGGGAATACTATCTTCGGATTGAACCAATCCAAGGCGTTGTTTAACAATCTGAACAAGTCGTTTACTACATAGAGTAAGCTGAGATAAAAACAACATGAAAAAGTAAAGAAACGATATCTCACTGCTTCTGTATACTTTCTGTAAGCCGCAGTGGGAGGAATATGCTCCAGGGCCTTGAGAATACGAGAATACACTACGGTCAAAGTACGATGAGGATGCTGGTTGACGAAAAGACCTGTGAGTCCTGTGGTCTGGAAGTGAGTAAACAATGTATTGTTAGACCATGACGTAATACAAATATATACTTTATTTACACAGATATTATGGTGCCAATTTGCTGCCATCGGACGGATGGTAGTGCTTGTAAGCATGAGCTATAGGATCGAAAGACCAAATCCGTCCATTGCAGGGTACACCTAATCCAACATATCCTTTCACACACATATATGTCTGTATATGTACATATATATGTATGTATGTATATATATATATATATGTATAGGGATAAAGCTCTCGGCATTAATCAGCTCTTGAGGGATGCCCCTCGCACTCGCCCTCGCTAAGTATCGTTAGAGATGAATGATTGGATATCTGCCCTTCACAACGACTCGCGGTGGCCCACCTATGTATCGAGTTAGTGCCGATACATCTGTAGTCAGGTCTGGCACCAATTTACCGAACCCGGAGGGATGTAGGGCTCCGCGAACATAGATTGCAGGATCGAACACATGTGAAATGCAAGACGTCTCTAACGAGTGCGCTAAACGCCCCTACACATGCATATACATATATATGTATATATATATATATGTATATATATACATATGCCGCGTGTGTCGCAGTGGTCGGAGACGCCCTGCAATGGGATCACACATGGGATCGATTCCCGCGCAGCTAGCCCACCAAGCTTTCCATTCCTCCATGGTGGGCAAATTGCTACCAGACTTGTCTCGAAGGATAGAGGCTATATATCGCCTAGAAAGGACCGTTATGCAGCGTCTACCTCCACTGAACTACATCATGCTTGCTGACTAATAACTATTAGTGTTTAGTGAACCATCGTGGTTTTTTTAAACCATTGGTATAATGATGCAAAGCGAAACAAAATATGTTGGCATGAATATGATGTGATAATGTTTCTGGTTCCCGCGGAGATTACTTTTTGTGCTTACAGAATAGCACAAGGACTGTTGCCGAGAACAGACATACCTAATGTCTGCACGATGAACCATAAGAGTCACATATGATTCGTAGGGTTCGGTACGAAATATTTAGCGTAGTTTATTGTGCCCGTAGTACAAAAAAGGATTAACTAAATGACTTCATGAACACAAAATTCAACCGCTTTACAAAAGCACAGGTAGTTGCCTTTGGAATTCGGCTGATTTCGTTTGACATTTTTACACACAGACTATACCTAGACGATCTACAAGTTTACGTAAAACTCTGGTAGATACCGAACTTGATCTACCTGGACATATAAGCTGTTTCAATTTGAAGAATAACTGCTTCAATAAAAACACAATAGAAAACTGAAAAGAAATCTGTTGCAGCTTTACAAAACGATAGAACAGATCACAGTGGCAGAAGCGGGTCGTGCAATTTCTCAAAGCACAACGAACCTCACCTTCTTGTAGAAATCGGGTGGCACCTTACATTTGTCTTTGAATCGAGCAAGGTACGGATTCTTATACATGGTCCGAATAGCGGTACGGGCGCCACACCTTGCTTGAACAAGCCTCTGAGCGCCAAGCGACATCTACAAAATGAATATAAATAATGTGATACACCGCGTAACACTCCATCAGTACACGACAAAGCGATGGTCTACTACTAGGCTAACAATCCACATTTCTCCTAATTGTTAACGACCTTCTTACTGTACTCGTGTGGAGCTGATGATTGATGTGAGTATAAGCGATATAAGCACAAAGTCGAAAACCAATAAGTCGTACATTACGTTACGTCTTACAGATCAGTCAGCAGAAACCGAGCCAAATATGGACCAAAAGCAACCACAGAGAAAACACGAGAGGTATGTGGCTGAAAGAATAAGGATGACTTGTATTCATTTCATTTCTAACTATGCAAATAAGGATGGATCAGACTAGAAATTCCGTGAGCCCTCCACCTCCGATGAGCCGTCCTCATTGGAGCACCCGACTTCATTGTCGCGTTGCGGTCGCGTTGCAGTTGCGGAAATAGTACTTGGCGCGAGTATTGTACCTCGAGCAGTAATGTCTCCGGGTTAACGAGCTGCTCTGATTTCTGGATGTTCTGTTGTCTAGTACATGTTATTGTTTATGTTATGTTGGTCTGATCATCGTCCTTACCAGATAATTGCACTCATATTCGTTTTCAGAAAGTGCTCACTTGGTGCTGGACCATGTCGTCACCATCTGGATTTTCGTTGGTATCGGCGTTTTCTGAAAATGGACATCGAATAACGAGGCCACAACGGTTGCACAGAGGTACGTTCCACCTCTTCCTTTCTATCACTTGTTTTTCCCCGTTTTCCTGTGGTCAAACAGCTATCGTGCTTTATACGAGTTGCCATAGCAGAAGTCTGAGCCTTTTGTCCGAAATTTACTATTAGAAGTCTCAAAAATTTTCCACTTTTTGAGCAAATGTTTGGTTGCTGTCGACTAAAGGCCGCGTGTAGCGCAGTGGTCGGTGGCGCCCTGCTATGGACATAGGGTCGATCTCTCCGCCCAAGGCTCACCAATCCTTTCATACCTCCGGGGTCGGCAAATTGGTACCGGGCTTCTCTGGGAGAATATGAGCACTGGTTCGATGCATCGGTGGGCTACCTCGAGTCATTGTAAAGGACAAATATGCGTCCAATCACCTCCAACGATGCTTAATGAGGTCGAATGCATGGCGCATCCCTCAGGAATTGATCAAAACGCCAAGAGCTTTATCCTGTTATCCGTTTATTTGTAATCTCCACTAGTTAGATACTTGTCCACTTAGTTGGCTGGCCATCAAATGGCAATAGATCGAGTTAAAAGTTACTCTACCTATTGAAGTTTTTCGTTGTGCTTGGAATAGTTTGGAAATTTTGTTTTTACGATTCTGATTGAGAAAAGCAAATTAATACAGAATAAATGTGAATTCTTACATCAAACAGATCATTATGCACTTTTCGCTGCTTGTTACATCCGCATTTCATTCTTCCATATAATGACGGGTTTTATCATTGAGATAAAATTGGGACGCTTTTCGACGCAGAATGCTTGTAAACGAAGATCACCTTAAAATTTATACTTTGCTAGGACATCATGATATATTCGCTGTTGTCTGATTACGTTCCCACCGTCAATTTCATTGTTTTGAAGTAACTTTTCTTCTACTTGTCATTTCTGCTTATCTGTTTTAGCAAGTAGCCTCTCTAGTGGTGGCTTCCTTACCTCTAATTCCGTGCTGTTTTACTCAGAAAACGAACGAAGGAACCTGTTAACAATAACACGACTTGTTCTGCGTGCATTTCTGGAACGAACAATGCTGGACAACAACCGTATACTCGAGAGCGACACACAACAAATCAGCGATCTGCTCATCATGCTCGAGAAGGTTCTGTGGCATGGCTTCAGACCTCGAAGTAGGTCTCCAGATTTGCACATAAAATTGCTGTTACGAAGTCGTGAAGGGTGTTTTGCAGAGGTTCTTGCAATTCCCTTATGAGAGCTGGCGAAGTTAAACACAACGTGCGTAGACGAATGAGAATGTCTTAGAATATCGTGGAAAACTTGGAAGTGCTGCTGTCATACTGAGTCGTGTGTGTCAAATTATAGTAACTAGAGTTGTTCCATCCTTTCGATCCACAAAAGCGGCAACTGCCTGTGGTGGTGATAACCTGGGACAGACTTTGGATAAGCTGACCTCAGGACTTCAGAGATCCACAATGGCTAAACCAGCAAAACCTCGAAAAAGTGGAAATTATGCTCGGGTCGCCCAACCAATGAAGGCGGGCCATCCAGTAATCCAAGTAAGAGTTTTTTTTCGTTTTAGGTCAAAAATCGTTGATTTTTTTGAAAAGCCCTGATGCTGAAATGTGGGCTGCTGTTGAACGAATTGCACAGAGTGACGATGCTATGCACGAGACTGCAAACTGTGTTGCCCAAATTGAATCGCTGCTGTGAGTCTTTTCTTTCATGTATTGAATGATACGGACTCTATGATCAATTTCTGTTGCAGGATGAACGTATCCTAAAGTTTTTACCTCTTCTAGTGCAAAATTGTAGCGTCCTCATTTCAGCACCCCTATTTCCCGTTTGCGTGCCTTTCTTCGTTTGGCCATGATGCAAAAGAAGCTATTCGACTTTTACACCGTAATAACAAGTTCGTCTTTATTAAAGTGGGTTGATATGGGATCACCTTAGGCTGTGCCACTAGAAGGTTTCCCCGCTTTCAGAAACTTTTACGACGATTGGGCACTATTGCGGCAGGAAGAAATAGTACAACTCACAGGATCATTACTCGGGTTATCAGTTGTGGACTGTAATCTTGCATTGGATTATGATTATCTGCAGGCAAGCTTTTCTAAAGTTTCTAAACATTGGAACATAATAATTCCTGAGGGACAAAGCTATATCATTCGCGTCTACCTTTTTTTTTGTTATCATCATTGTTGTAAACGTATCAAAGTAAAAAGTGGTAGATCACATATTTTTTGCTAAAATTTATCAATGTTGCGTCTATGTTCGGAATATGCTTTCCTTGTAAAAACAATCGAAATTGCACGAGCAAAACGTGAATAAAAGAGCATAACATCGGATTTACCGTTTTTGTTGCTCAGGAACTGCAACGCAGAACCACATATGTAATCTACGCAGATTATATAGAACTACATTTTCTTGTTGGGAATTTTGTGGCCTTTTCACGAAGAATGTGTCCAACAACCAATACGACTTCTTTTGAAGTGCTACGTGAAAGTACGTAATCAGTTAGTGATAAAAAGGCTAAAGGATAAAGCTCTGAGAGTTGATCAATCCTTGAGTGATGCGTCATGCATTCGACCTCATTAAATATCATTGGAGGTAACTGAATGCATATCTGACCTTTACAATGACTCGCGGTGGTCAACTAATGTATTGAGCCAGTGCTGCTATCCTCCCAAACAGGTCTGGTACGAATTTGCCGACCCCGGAGGGATTGAGTGTTTGGTGGGCCTGGGGCGCAGCGATCGACCCCATGTGTGTTGCAGGGCGCTTCAGCCACTGCGCTACACGCACCCCATTAGTCGGTGATAAGAGGCAATTGTGTAGCATTCCAACGACAATCAAAGATGTTTTCCTCGTATGTATTTTTGACTTCTTAAACCAACTGGTTTTCTCTCATTTCATGGTCGGAAGTACACTCTCTTAGACTCGCAAATTTTAGTGTGAATAGTGTGCGTTTTTTGAGGCATTGTGATAGTTTAAATTCCTTTTCCTTTTCTAGGAACAGCCGCTCAGCATTGACTTGTCGTTGTATATTCGCATTCCCACTATACCTAATGAAAGTGAGGAGTTACTACTTAAGAATGGAAGTGAATGTCTTGATAAAGTAAAGAAAATGTTATTGGACCAAAACAATTATCTGGAGGAGAGAAACAGACAATTGCAGTAAGTTGAAACCACTGTCGTTAAAATCTTTAGTTAAATTATGCTCATGGTTAAATTCTACAGATAAAATTTCAGACCACCTGATTTAGATGTAATGTTGAGAATTTGAAAAGACGTCTCAACTCGCTTGACTGTGGATCTGAAACCAACGCAATAACTTTGGAACGAGAGGTAGAAAATGTAACAACTTGGAAATACCCATCATCTTATTTTTGTTTGAATAGAAGCAGCGGAAAGAAGATTTGGTAGAGCTCTTTGTTAAATGTTCATATATTTTTTAAAATTTTTACTTTGTTAGTTTTTACTACTGCATTATTATAGCTTGTCATGTTTAAAAACATCGACAATGCTGAATGCAGCAAACCACACCTAGCTATCGATAAGCATTGGGAGTTGGAACGAGAACGACTACTTGGCCAGGTATATCTCACTGCTCAAATAAACTTGTAGTTAAATTTGGTAGGCTTTTGAATATCAAGCCGAACCTTTCAGATTGTTGAGAGGGAAGATTCTTTACGAATCGTACAGCAGCAGCTTATGGATACAAGGAAAATAAATACAGATTTGTATGGTAAGCTAAAACTGGCAGATGAGAAATGGCGAAAATTGGAGAAAGATATGGCAAGGATTCAGCAACAGTATATGCAAGTAGGTTTTATATTAGTAACGTATCTTTCGACGCTCCTATTTGTGAAATACAACCACGAGGATGAAAAGATATAACAATATTCAGGACGTTAGTTGGGCTTCATACCGTTTATTACCCTAACCTGCTGCATACATGCTATCTTTCGGACCACTACTCTTCTTTGGCCTTCCTAGGACTCAGAGGTCCGTTCGCAGGTTCGAAGCCCACCCGACATTCCGAGTTTTGCTCATATCTCGGCGTCCATGTGGAGATATTTCACATAGTACCATACGGTGAAAAAAGAGTAGACATTTAATGAAGGTTAAGGCATTCAGATTTGTGTATTATGCTTATGAAAACTGGAGTAATAACGGCTTCTTAAGGGTGAAACCATCTGTTCTACAAAATTAAGCGTCTCTGGTTTTCTGAGTATATTGAATTTCCTTGTATCTTTGTTGGTACAAAGTCGTAGTATTTAGAATTTCTCCCAACAGAAATGATTGAATTGAAAAAATATGGGTAGGATTTTGATGTTTTTACTATCCAGAAGACTTGAACGTATACCGTTGTAGAGTGACCATTGCCAGACATGTGCATTGTTTAACGGGTCAGAATGCAACTATTTCTGGAAGAATCTTTCTTAGACTTCTGCGATGTCTCTTGAATGTAGGAAAAGATGGGTTTTGCAAACTGATACGTACGCCCAAATTGCGTGACTATTTTACAGGAAAGCGAGACCTTAAAAAAGACTATTTCAAATTTGGAAGTTTCAAACGCTTTTCTTCAAGAGAGCTCACGTAAGCAAATTGCTGATGATGGTATGTGATGTTGACTTTTACCAGCGTAGTTTTATTGGTGCTGAGGTTCCCGAAAGCTGTTTCCTTCTAGTCAAATATTTAACCGTACATTGCAGAAGTTATCCGTGCCGAACTTGAGAAGAAGTACGGTCAACATGCTGAATTGGTGGATGCTTTGCAGAAGAAGCAGAACGCACTTTCTCAGGTCAGTAATGGGACTTATTCTCTCATTACATTTCCCATACCATACATTGTTATATATTGTTAAGGCTGAAAGCGAACTATTAGTCTTACGACGCAAAATTGATGTATTGGAGAGAGAAGTGAAGGAAATTCCGTTCCTGAAAGAGGTACTGTCTTTTTTATGATTGCGTTTTCATTTCATTGGTAGGATATGTCATTGTTATCATCGGCTGCGTTTTTTTCCTTTTCTTATTTCCGACTTTTCTTTTGCAGTAGCTAATAAATTAGTCCTATTTCCTGTCATAGTTCATGGGGTGTGTAACTCAGCGGCTAGAGATGGACTGCAATACACAGTGAATTACTCTTTACGGGGCTAACGTGCTACCTACGGCACCATCGAGGTCCTTACTTTACCTTTCTCACAACCAGTTTTTTTTTACGTTGATGCTTCTATCAGCCATTACCCTTCAATGGGAATGATCGGGAGAGCAAATCGACGCTGAACCCAGTTGAACTGAGGCTGAAATCAAATATTTAACTTTTTATTTGTGGCCTACTTTTTTCCATAGCAGAGTATTATGTGAAATACGACCACAGTGATGCTGAGTTATTTGCAAAGCTGGGACACTAGCCCAGAATCGAACCTTCCCACATCATTCACGTTGACGGGTAATTGCTGATAGCACCGTTAGGCTAAAACATGGCGGAGAGGAAGCCAAAGCTAGGGCCTCAGCGGTGTGGTGGATAATACACGAGCCTCCGCAAATTGTAGTTGCGGGTTTAAAGCTGACCTGGGTCCGGGTTTTGCAAATGTCTCAGCATCATTGTAGTTCTACTACACACTGAACCGATAGTTGGTTTGACTCCGTGCTCCGTGCTCACCAAACCATCCATACCTCCGGGATCGACAAATTGGTATCAGAGTTGTCGGGGAGGATAGTAGCACTGATTTGGTACATTCTCATTGGTTCACCCCAACTGATAATGTAGGCCAGCTATGCATTAAGTCACTTCCACGGTGCATAATGAGCTAAATTGATAGTGTGGACCGTCCATCAAGGACAGATGAACGCCAAATACCTTATCCTTTTACTCTTTTTATCCTGCCGTGGTGTAAGCATTTCAGTGTGGCTGGGGTGTTCATTGATGTCGTACTGCGTTTAGTCTGACACTGATACGCAGCAGGGCCCCAAAATCTAAGGAGTAGTTTGATTTTTTTTTCAACGTAACCCGCTATGAGTGAAGGGAAGAGGTTTTTAGTCAGTTGGCGAATTCCCGATCTGTTAGAGATTCTGCCAAGAACAATTTTACGGGTTTAGAGAACATGAGCAGTAAATAATATTGAATTCTTCCTTAGCATTATCCTTCTTTCTACTGATATTCTATTATTGAATCATCATCGAACTTCATATTTCGCATTGTGTTCAGGAAATAAAAGGATTACAAGGTAAATATGAATGCGTTTCTGAACGCGCCGAAGAGTCTGAACGCGCACTTGAGGAGTTAGGAGGGCACTTGGGCGAGTAAGCCTAATGTTTAGTGTCACTTCTTGGTCTAATGCGGTGTTATCTTTGCAACAGAACTGAATTAAGGTCAAAACTTCGCATGTTGGAACTTGCGGAGGAATTGTTGCCGTTCACCGATGCTCACTGGGCTAAAGACGCCGATATCGTGCAGTGCACAGCATGTTCAGAGAAGTTCTCAATTTCAAAACGCAAGCATCATTGTCGGTTGGTACTCAGAGATATTTTACGGAGTTCCGTGACTTTTTCAATTTTTTTCCCACCACTGGATATTTTTTTTAACAATATCAGACTCCGTTTTACTTTTTTTTTGCGATGTTTCTCTTCCACATACTTCATGTTCCTCATCATCTTTTATTAGCCGATGCGTCATTCTCGGAAATCACTGTCATTCTGGATTGGATGATCGTACTCACAGAGCAAGAAATCCTTGGATCGACAAGTGCGAGCGGTTACTTAACACTTTTGAAGAATTTTTGCACGAGGGCTTTACGAACACTTAAGGCTATCTCAAATCTACACGAAAAACAACGTTTTCCGGCATACAACATATCAGCAAACATATCAGAAAAGAGTTAAATCCTGAAGACGCAAATGAATCTACGCACGAGTCCATCTGCTTCCGTATATTGCATTTTCTAGACAATGAAACAATTAGAAGAAGCTCTGGTGCATGCCGAACAAATGGAGCAAACAATCTGATATCCAAGTAAACTTTGTACAGTGCCTTATTTTGTTGGCATTCCACTTCCTCGCTTAGTGGAAAAAAAATCCTGAAAAGTGTTCAAAGTGGAACTCAGAATCGCAGACACACTTCGTGCCACACGGTCACGCTTTCTGGGAACTCACGTGTTATTCAATGTATTAACCAAGGCGGTTACTTTTCTGTATCCTTTCTTAGTTAAACAGTGGATAATATGTGATCCTCCGGGAAGCGTAATCGTGGGTTTGAAGCGCAGGCGATTTTCCGGGTTCTGCTCGTATCTCAGCATCCTTGTGGTTGTATTTCACATAGTGCCCGCTATGAAAAGGAAGGTAAAGTGAGTAAAAGTTGAAACAATGTTCAAAGCAATAAAATCGGTAAAGGTGCTCTTTTTTAAAAATCACTGAGCGACCTGCATAATTACTCCTACCGTCGGTTATCAGATTCTTCAAATGGGTGCCATTGAAGTCTTCGTCGACTTTTTTTTGCACGTCGATTCTGTTAAGAGCTTGCAATGAAGTGACTAAAACCCTTTTGCGGGAGGTTCAGTGGCATCTATTAATCAGCCAGTTTAGCAGCTTTCGTTCGTTTTTGTTTTATTCCATGTGTGGTGATGTTTGAACACCGAACTTTCCTTAACGTTTGTTTAGTTTCTTGTTTGGACCAACTATTCAATAATAATACTACTACTACATGTTTTAGGCTTTTCACTAGTATGGACTTGATCGTTGTCATTCTTGTCCTAATGAGATGGGTGTAAACGTGTAGGCCGCATGCATTTGTTCAGAAGTATTCATTCTTCATCTGTATATTTCGTATTTGTAGAAGCCTAATCCTCTATCATTTCCTTACTTAAATAAAGTATCCTTAGCTAAATTTCAGCATGTGCGGTTCAATTTTCTGTGCAACCTGTAGCGAAGGCCGAATCAAGCTACCGTCGAATGCTAAGCCTGCTCGAGTATGTAATCAATGCTTTATTTTGCTGAACAATCGACACGCTGGAAATGCTCAATAACTACTGATTTTCGATGGAAATCCATGGCTTAGTAGGGTAATGCAATTTTGTTAGTCCTTTAGAAGGTGTTCCATGCTCGGCTACTTCTAATGATATGAACGTTTTTCATTGTGATTATTATTTTGTGATTCTTACCTACTTTTGATGTTTTATTGGGTTGTGCCTTGTGAGCTATCATCGGCGATTTATGTATTTTATTGTACAAAAAGACATATATCCTCTTGTCCATATCATTCAAAATCGTTTTAATTATTTTTTGTCCAGTTGAGGTCGCAATACATAACTAGTAGGTTTTTCAACCGTATTTCTTGTACTATTAATTGACTTATTTTCTTTCTACTGCTTGTGATAAGTATATTTCTCTATTTTCTTAATAAGGTTTTTCCTTTGAGTTCACTGTTTTGGTTTTGTCCTGTTATTGAAACGCATGTCTTTTTTAACTTGTGAATTAAAGGAAGACTCTTTTAACACTATTGGTCGACTATGTTTACCGCACAAAGTTTTTTGGAAGCCATTCTTCATATTGTTACATGTGATGCATCTTTAAGGCCTAAGTAGATTTTGCGTCATTCCGGAATTTTTCTTGTCTGTTTGCCATGACTAAGTTGTTCAAACTTGGAAGAGCGCCTTTTTGAAGGAGTGCTACAGCATTCTCCCTCAGCCTGTTATATTATGATTGGTCAGGCTAGTAGGGGAGAATTACTGCGTTGTTATCCCAATGAAATTGCCCTCATATACGTTAGTGGATTTCAGAGTAACATTTGCTAGGCAATGAATCCATTAGAAGGAAAATAAATGTCCAGTGGTTGCTCCAGAAGAGAAAGGAACCAAAACTTGATCCTACTGTGAAAGACTAGCACAGCTGGTGATGACTCTTAGCTGTAGAAGATCTAGAAGAATACCAGTAGTAAGTCTTGGACCAGCGATCCAGGATAGTTTATATGGGTAGAGGCAGAAGGAACTGTGAGAAGTAACACAGAAAAAAAAACTAACTTGAAGGAATGCTGTCAGGATTTGTGTGAGTATAGTGATCCGGTCTCAGCCCTGATGAGCGAAGATGGTATCACTGAAACTTCGCCATGATATGGGATTGATAACGGAGCGGAGAAGCTTTCCGCCAACCTTTCCATACCATAATTACCGTCCTGTACATTAAAATCTCCGCTGGAGGAGAATCACCTGGAACTGTTCCTTGTGACGTTCGAGCTTTAGAGATGGAAGACACAATTTGCACGCACTTTTCGCAAAGTCCGATATGCTTGTTGAGTGCATTCTTCAAGATGTTCACGAATATTGTCCAAAAACGCATGCCAAGGACGCTAGATAAGGCACAACTACTTGAGCAAGTGGGATATCGACGGGGATTTTGCTGCATAGACCACATCCAAACCATGTCCAAGGTTGTAAAAGTTTGTCGGAAGCGCCATCTCTCTCCAGTCTTGATTTTTCTCGACTATGAAAAAGCGTTTAACAGCATCAAAACGAACGCAATCCTGTAAGCGCTCGTCGACCAAGGAGTAGACCCGTCCTACATAAGAAGTTTATTTGACCGCCACCGGAACTTCGCGGCGAAGATACAATTTTTCTATTATGTTGAGCCCTCAACGTAGCCATAAGAATAGCGGTTCGTCAAAGCGACACCACATCGCCAAAGCTGTTTACTGCCCTATTGCAGTGGGTAATTAAGTCATTCACTCGAGTGGAACGCGAAAGGCGTACGACTGAAGGAAAATTCCAATCAAATCTTCGTTTTCCTGACGGCATTGCCACGTTTTCAATAAGCACCAGCTGAGCAGAGATCAAAGAGCTAAACGAAATGAGGAAAAAGATCAGATAACGCATAAGTGGTGATGAGAGAAAGTTCATGGAAAACCCACGGTGTGAAGGCCAGGAAGTCAAATTGGGTGTTTCTCCGACCTACCAACCACTGCGTAGGTTTGCTTTGGACATTCAGCGCACAACATCAGGAAGGAAAGAGAGAGAAAAAAGGAAGCAACATAGGCCAAATTCGGGCCTCTCAAGGAAGCTCGACTTAAAATGTATTGCAATGCACTCCTGCCCTAAACGATCACGATTCCACTTTATGAGCGCCCTAGGCGTATTGGCACGACACGAGAATTCTCACTGTACGTTGTCCATTTTAGCACACATGACATAGTTCGAGTGTCGATAAGTCAACCAATAAGCATTAATTGTGATAATGCTGAGATATTTACAAAACTCCGGACCGCGGGTGTCTGCGGTGGGGAACGAACGCGCTACTGTCCTTTCCGGGGTGCAACGCGTTCACCACCACACCATGCCGGTCTTTCGTTTCGCCTGTCTCTCAGCTAGTTCTATCGATCACAGCCATCAGTAATCACCCGTCAACGGAACTAATCTAGGGAGCCCAAATTGGCAACGAACCTAGTTAAGCTGAGGCTGAAGTCGAAATCGCAATCCTAACCTTTTTATTCTTAATCTTAACCAGTCCCGTTGACGGGTGATTGCTGATGGCTGTGATCGATAGGACTAGCTGAGAAACAGGCGAAACGAAGGACCCGAATGGTGTGGTGGTGAACGCGTTACACCCCGGAAAGGACAATAGCGCGTTCGTTCCCCACCGCAGAAACCTGCAATCCGGAGATTTGCAAATATCTCAGCGTTATAGAAGTTATATTTTGCAACATACCCTGCCGTTAAAAAGAATAGGCAGTAAATAAAAAAGGTTAAGTTTGTCAATAATAATTGTATTATTCTGACTGCTATTGCTGATAGTACTCACCTATGGCTGTATCTCAACGTCCGTAGCAGGAACGTTTCTTGTATATTCAAATTCATGGCCAGACTGATAATATTTCTTTTCTGGTTACTATTTACTGTACCCAACTAATGTAGCATACTATTCATTCACGACAAAGGAATCACACTTATACACCGCTGCACTCCCTCAGTCTACGGCTCTTGATCATCTGTATCTAGCCTCTTATACCTTACCTTCCCCTCAGTAAGAAGCATAAGGGTGCTGTAGCAGGCTCAGTGCTGTTATGAGTACACCTCATTAACAACGTCACACCGGCTTTCATATTATTCAGCTTTATATTGTACATACATTTATAATCTCATGGCGTTGTTGTGTAAATGATATGTACACATATCAAGGCTTAATTACCCTAGTTTGAGGTGTCCTGCATTGTGACTGCCAATCACGAAGAGCTCCACGTGGCACGAGCAGAGGATAGCAACTAATCCGACCGACTCATCTTAACTACTTGGCATTCATAAAACAGCGAGCTGTCCCAAAAATTTTGGTGCATTGGCCGGAAATCGAACCCACGTCGTTAATGAGATATACTCATAACAGCACCGAGCCTGCTACAGTACCCTTATGCTGCTTATTGAGGAGAAGGTAAGGCATAAGAGGGTAGAGAAAGATGATAGAGAGCCGTAGGCTGAGGGAGTACAGCGGTGTATAAGTGTGACGAAGGGTACACTAGCGCCATAAGAAGTAGTTAGCACATCGAGAGCAACATAAAAATAACAGTAAATAAAGGGAAAAGTTGCGGTTACGGAACATCACTGTTGTGATGTCAATCTTGCTGCAGTCTAGTGCCGTTAAAGATCACGTTCTAGTAACTCGTAGTCACTGTTTCCTGGCTGATATAGTGCGGCAATAAATAGAAATTGTATCTTTCTGAATGGGTGATGACTGAGGCATTAGACGAAGGTTTGTCAACGAAGATTCTGGGGTTCCATTGAGAATTCGCCTACTGAGAGTTTCTTTTTTAGAGTAACAAAAATCAGTTCTATTGTAATAAATGTTCTATTCGATGAAGCGCAAGATCCAACCCAGAATTCTTAGTCACGTCTGCGCAGTCTTGCTGGACCAATGTAACTCGAGGACTGGAAACTCGCTTCCAACACTGACACAACAGCACTTCTCCGAGCACACATGTGATGTGTTCACTTTATTAATTAATAGTGTGTCACACTACTGCAATATGCCAACACGGGTAATAATAAATTCCAAATGCTGAAAGTGTCTGCAGGAGGGCGTGCACCACTGTAAGTTGAGAAAAAACCTCTCAAAACATGAAATGAACACCTTAAATAAATGCCATTGAGATCTATGCGAAAGAAATTTCCTGTTATCATACTTAGTGTACGATGACGGATTTATCACCTTAACACCTCATTAAACCATGATGTGGAATAGATAATGGAAAGTTTTATTTCCATCTTTCCCAGTCTGCAACTATCGTTACCATCGCTAGTGTCTTCTCTGGAAATCCAAGCAACCCGCAGTTGTTCTTTCCAATTCCCAAACTGTGTTCAAGAATATGAGCGAAGGCACAGCTCCAGGATCAAGCAACATCCCATCTGACTTTTGCGAACAAGTAGACATGAGTACTCTACACAATTCTCACGGCTATCGCGTTGCGCTATTAGACTTGTCTGAAATCAGTTCGCTCCTTGCACTCAACAAATGCTGGAGTGCGCATGTGATAAGAATCTACAAACACCCCATGGCTGCAAGAGAGGATTTCAGGGAGAGCCAACTTGATCAGCCTTCAACGACATTCACAAAGAAGACGAAGTCCTCAACTAGTAAGCAGACACAACGTGAAATCAGAAAACCATAGTAGAACTTTAGTAGGAAGAGATAAATCGCAGGAAGTGCTGGAATTCGTACAATAGGTGATGTCGAGTTGCGTTTAGGATAAAATACAAATTATGTGGCTTTTTTTGAGGCGTTTGTTTGTGTTTGTAAGTCACTTTCTGTTCATTCAAGAGACAGCATAACTCGGTCATAACAACAGTGAAATACCGGGTACAAAATCAATAATATTGATAGGACGTTTTATATGGCATTATACGTCGTTATCACTACAAATCGGTTCGTCACGGTTGAATAACTCGAATATCAGAGTAACTAGCTTCCACCTGCACTATAGAACGTAATAATCACTGGGCACTAAAGAAATCTACGTAGTAAAGTTTTTCAGTAAGTTTTTTTGGAG